TTCATCCCTGCTGAGCTTTGAGCTGATGTCTTCATCAGACTAGCAACTATCTTTTAAAATCCCAAGTGACAGTAGAAACTTTTACAGTCAGAGGTTAGGATTGTTTCCACTATTTGGGTTCAATAATAATAATAATATGGGTTAGTAGTTAAAGGACTTGCAGTAGTCTGCTAAGTAGGGTTTTTTTCATGCTTGTCAGACTTGACAGCCTGTTCTTCCCTACATCTCTCTAGAACTGCCTTTTAAAAACTGGCACTGTTCTTTTCCTGTCCATGGGAAACCACAGTAGGCTGTGAAATGTGACTTGTCCCAGGAACTGATTCAGCCATTTCTTCTTCAAGTTCCTTTAGAGCTTGTGGGGTGAAGTCTGGTGCCAGTTGTTATTCAGTTTAATTTGTTCTATAACTTCTACAAATACTTCTACCTCAGTCTGTAATAGTGTGTATAGGTAAAACTACAAAAGTAAGAGAGCCATTTTAGCTTTTCCCAAGCTTTAGGCAGTTTTCAGGCTTCAATCTCTTGCTTTTATATATTTTTCTTCATTTTCTAAACTTTCACGAAACAAAGTCATTTTTTGCTGTGGAGGAAGAGCAACAAAAGGAATTGGCAAGAGCTTAAGTAACCCTGAAAATTCAGAGAAACTGAAGCAATACTATCACACTTTGTAGTGGAAGGAAGCTGTCATAAAGCATGTGTAGCTTTTTTAGACCTGTAAACCAGTGGTGCACCTGGACAGTACCAGTATTTTAGAAGGGTGCAGTGGCATAGTCCTCTAAATAATGTGCCTTGAAAGCATTTTTCAATGTTAATTTAGCCCAGTTTATAAAATGGGGTAGTTGAAACACAACATATCAGTCAGATTGCTGGAAATAAATCTCTAAGGCAAAAGCGCTCAGCACTTGACCAGATCCAGCTAAAGTGAGAGCAGTTTTTCTTCCCCATTATTCACTACACATCACCTGTAACACTTCAAATTTACACCAAGTTACAGACAAGGTGTACTTTTTATCATTCAGAAAGCAAAAATCCCAGTTTGAGTTCATTCTGCAGGCAACGGATGCAGCAGTTTAAAAATCAGTCTTGCATGTGTTCCTATCTCTGCAGGACAGTTCCAATATATGCAATTACTTGTTATTATTCTATAGAGTGCATGCTTTGTAGCTCAAGGTAAGTTTGGTTTTAACAGAATTTGTGAAAGTTCGTTTTGAAGTAAAGTTTTGCTAAATTATTTTTATAGTGCATGAATGGCTGGATCTTGTATGAAGAAATTTGGTCTTTCTTTCAGCTGCATGTCTAGACTTTCAGTATATTAAAAGGTGCTGTGCTTCAGATTTTTGCAGCATTAAGTTTGTTTTTTCTAGCTGGAGTGGCAGTGCCTGGCTCCTGGCTCTCAGTTCCCAGTCATTGAGTGAATGTGTCGCTGTGGTTTGGTGTGACACTTGAGTGTCTCTTGCTCCTTATCCAGATTTTTAATACCACCTTCAATTGTGCCCTAGGCTTTGGGAAGGAGCAGGCACAGACCATCGTGTCGGCGTTGATCACCCTGTCCAGTGTCAGCTTAGACACCGTCTACAAGGATATGGTTACACAGGCCCAGCAGGTAAAAACTCCTCTGTGCTACAAAGGCTCGTGTGTGCATCTTTGAAACACAAGTGAGCAGCTCTCTCTAGTGCTATAAACACCTCACTGTGCCAGGTTTTCCTGTTTCACTCGGGATTTTAACAGAAGGTTTAGGCCCTGACCAGCTTCCACTGAAGTCTGACTACTTCATTGAACACAATGAAGATTTACAATTCCTGGGAAAACTTTGGTTGCATTTACACTGAGGAGATAATATGCCTCATACCATCTTAAAATATTCATTATCAATACTGACTACACTATAAAAACCAGTGTTTCTGCCTGATGCAATTCCATGAAAATTCTGTTTAGGATGCTTTGCATGTAATAGGATTTCCAAAAAGAAAGGTTTTCATTTTGATGAAAGAAAATCACAGACACAGAAGTTCTTGTTTTCTTCTGAGATTCAGAGGGGGAAAAAAAAAGTTAGACAACTTTTATTACAAGTAAATGCCAGTAAGATAAAAATCTTACTGTTAGGAGAAAGGCTCAGGAGTTGAAATAAAATAGCAATGAATGCTTAATTACATTAAGTAATTAAAGAAGAATAGCACATGATTTCAGTTTGCACAGCCTTCTGGAGCAATGATCAAAACCATCACTGTGCATCAGAGAATCACACAGCAATGTGTCTTTTTCCATGCTAAATAGTAGGGTAACTTCCATATGCTGGGTGAAGGAATATTGCTTTCAGCATTTTAAAATTCTGAGTTTCTTCTTCTATTTTCTGGTTTGGGTTTCTTCCTGTGTTTATATGTAGCGTTTGAATTCTGAACTTGTTAGTTCAAACCCCGGGAAGGCTTTTCTCAGTGCTTTTTAGCAGTGTTTCACTTCTGTCCATCAGACTTTGAAGCTTGCTGTATGATACTCATTGTCTTTGGCTTTCAATGAGTTTGTAGGCAAGAAATGGAGGTGCTTAGTAAGAGCTGGAGTCAGATCAACAATTAATGCTTCTGAGGCTACTGAATGTTCATTGAAAGTGGAAGAGACTGCAGGAGGGACCTGTAGTTTCAGGTCTACTTCATTTCATTGCTACTTGGACTAACACCTCTGGCCTTTTTGCTTAAGTTCAGACTTGGTGAATTAAAGTAACAGAAAAAGCACAAAACTCTTGAGTCTTTCAAATAAATTGCTGGTATTAAATTGTCTGTTTCTGTCACATTCTTGTTAGAGACTCCCCACTTTTGGGCTTCACAGTAGCTAATTTCATCGTTCAGACCTAAGCATTTTTTCTTTACTTGTCAGAAAGAGTGCACCTTAATCAATGGCATGTTTTATTTTTCAAAGGAAATAACTTTACAGCAGATAATGGCACATTTGGACTCCATTCGAAAAGATATGGTCATCCTGGAGAAAAGTGAATTTGCAAACTTGAGAACAGAGAATGAGGTACTAATACATATTTTCATTAAGCATTTTAATTGCAGTGTTTGTTGTGTTTTACCTGATGTAGAGTTTTGTGGAACAAAATATAAATGTAAAAGTAATTCTGTAACTGGAATTGAAGAATCTGTATGTTACAACTTCAGAGATCACATAAAAATATATTTCACTTGCTATGACCTGCTCAGATCTTCTGTAAAGGATTCTAAGATATGTACATTTTTTCAGCTTCTGTAATTTTATTTAAGGGTAACTGCTAGCTTCTAGCCATTAACCATATAGTGCACGTAGAGGAGTCAGCCATTGCTTTGCAATAGTTTCATTAATTTGGTGATTAAGACATATTTTGGTTTTACTTCATGGTATTTTGGTATTTTTCTGCTGTCTTTAGACTCAGAATAACAAGATCATCATTGTTACAAAATAAATCCTTTCTTTTGAACAAATTTCCCAGCAGATTATATATGCCATACATCTGAACACATTAGCTATTAGAACAAATTGCCCCATTGGGAGGAAAAATGGGGAAAGAATAACTCCATGGATGCGGTGATAACACATCACTGATCCATTTGGTTAAGTTTCCTGAATTTTTAAAAATCTTTTTTTTTCTCCTCTGCACTTAGAAAATGAAAATTGAATTAGATCAAGTTAAACAGCAGCTAATGGTAAGTAAACAGCAAGTACCTACACACTCCCATTAGGGAGAATAAGTAGCTATTTTCATAATCTTCATTTGTTTTAAAGACTGAGACCAGCAAAATCCGAGCTGACAGCAAGCTAGACATAAACCTGGAGAGGAGCAGGGTGACAGATATGGTGAGTTGGTCTGTGAGATGCCCTTATTAGCTTTGTGTTGTGTTTCTGTTGCTACAGCTGTGATTTATCTTTTATCCACAGTTTACAGATCAGGAGAGGAAGCTGATGGAAGCAACTACAGAGTTTCATAAAAAAGTAAGTATTGAACAAAGCAGGATGTAGATATGCATTGCATGTTCTGTAAACCCCAAACTTTGGTGAAAGCTAATAGGTTTGTGTGGTAAAGCAAAAGACCAGACTCCATCACTCAGGTCTGCTGCAGGTGTTTCTTGCCTGTGGGATTCACACTAAACTCCAGTCAGCAGAGGGAGGCATTCCAGCCTTGTCCCTCACTTCCCAAGTGCTGTCGCAGGCTGGCACAGCTGGGATGTGAGCTGTCATGCTTCCTTTTTCCCAACTGATGAGCTGTATCACAGGGATGGTGCAGGTGCCTACAGCCAAGCTATTCAAGGGCTGGAAGTCCTGAAGCTGCTAGACAACACCAAAGTCTAAGGGGCTGAAGAGGGACCATATCCCATCTTGAGCATATCTCCCATTTTTGCACTATGCCTTGGGAATGCTTAAACCTTTGTTTTTCAAAAATGGAGGAATACTGTTCTGTGTGCTCTGATACTGTTCTTTGGCTCTGATGTGCCAGTGTCTCCTTCAGGAGGCACAGGCACATCAGAGACAAAACTCTGTCATGAGGGCGGCGAGACAGTGGCACAGGTTGCCCAGAGAGGTAGTGGACTCCCCATCCATGGCAGTGTTCAAGGCCAGACTGGAATGGGGCTCTGAGTGACCTGGTCTAGTAGAAGATGTCCCTGCCCATGGCAGGGGGGTTGGAATGAGATGCTCTTTAAGGTCCCTCCCAACCCAAGCCAGTCTGTGATTCTATGATCATTGAAGTTTTCTCTTTTACTGTCTCTATCCCTTCAGCAATCTTTCCAGATTGTATGAAGCCAGTTTCTCTGTCTTCTAATGTCTCTTAGCAGTGATAGGTTGGAAATTTTTTTGTTTCTGGTAGCATGGTATTTTAGTTCAACTTTGTTAAATATATGCTGTCTTTTAATATTTCAGGATGCAAATACCAACAGTATTATCTCAGAAATCAGTAATAAAATTGACACTGAAATAGCTTCCTTAAAAACACTCATGGAATCAAATAAACTTGATACCATTCGCTATTTGGCAGGTATGTGACAGGCAAGGAGGTGAGTACTGGTACTGGGTTTGGCTGTATAAAATTCTGTTCAAGAGTAAATGCTATATGAGGTCAGCTGTAGCAGCAAGCAACTGGAATTGGGAGGAGGAGATCTCCCTCTCCCCCTCCAGTTGGAAATGTGACAGAGAACACAGAAGAGCTGGAAGGATGCCACCATGGGACTAGGATTGTGCCCAGAACTGAGATTAGGATGAATATAGACATGATTAAAAAAATTACAAGTCTAAATACCTTACCCAGTTTGACAGTACCTCTGCTTGCTGCAGCAGCTATTGATGTGATGGAGTTGCTGCAGAAGTTTTGGTGAAGCCGTTTACCTGAAGGTTTTCTGTCATTCAGGACTGGTCTGAGAGTGACCAGTTCTGCCTCCCACTGAGTCTTCACTGGCACACAGTTTCTGTGTGGCAGGACTTGTACTTTTCCCCTGAACAGATTTCTGCTTACTCAAAAACATAATTTGAGATTAGTCTTCTCAAATATTTACATAACCAGTGACGTTTTTATTGTGTAGGAGCTGGATAAAAAGAGTAATGCATTTTATTTGGAAGAATAAGTTGAAAGGCAAATGTAATTAGCTTTATTCTAACACTAATTGAAACAGCAGTGTAACAAATCCAAAAGACAACTTGTCAGGTTTCAGGAGTGCTGTCGTGTTGGACAACTCATTTTGCAGTTCATTGTCATTTTGGTTCCATGGGAAATCTGGGATGTCTAACATGAGCCTTGTGCAGCCAGCTCTCCTGCAGTGCAGTTTCCAGGAGCTGGGTGACAGTAGCACAAGCCCCTGTAGCCTGTGGTGCTCTGAGGCATCCAGCATAGTTGTTGGGATGTGTCCCTGGAAACGTGACTCCTCAGGCTGCTGCATTGGGCCTCCCATCTCAGCACTGCTGAGACAAGCCATTGGCTTCTGGAATTGTTCTGTCACACCTGCAGCAATCTGGGAGGGTTAGGAGGCTCTGCTCTACAGTTGTTAATTCCTCCATCTGTTTGCAGCTGATTTCTTCTGTGGATAAAGTGGTACAACAGCATTCAGCTAATTATCTCCTTTTTTTGTTGTTTGTTTTGTTTTTAACAGCCTCAGTGTTCACTTGCCTAGCAATAGCACTGGGGTTTTACAGGTTCTGGAAATAGATCTATATGGAATGACTGCACTCAATAGAGACAGAAAAGGCCACCCAGGCAACACCACTTTGACAATAACCTTGGCACCTTTTGCTTTTGATACTCTTACTGTATAATAAAAATGTTTTCTGAATATGTAACACTAAAGATCAAAATAATTGGGGGGAAGTAGCCAAATAGTATTATTTCATTGCCCCCTATTCAATACTGTATTTATTTCAAAGTATTTCTTATGCTATACCAGAAAGTTTCCTAATATCTTTTAGAATTGAATTTGTTTTTTTCTGGAAAATTCTCACTCTCAGCTGCTTTCAGAATGGATTTTATATACTCTAGAAATGGGAATACAATTCCCAAATTAGAGTTCCCAGTATGGGGATGCTAATACCAGACTTCAAACTACCTAGTCTGATCCAAGTAAATTATTCTTTAACATAGGAGGATTTTGCCTCCAGTCTGTTCCTCACTTTTTTGATGAATTAAAGCTTGTCCCTTTGGTTTTTTAATCTACATATGTAAAAATACACTCCAGGGCCTTTAGTAAAGAATCTTTTTTTTTTTCCTTGAAAACTGATTTACATTCATTCAAAATCTCATGTATAAAATGTCTCTATAGATTTTTGTTAGTATCTCCTGCAATTTCTGTAAGCCCAGAGGCCCAAAGAATAGGAAAACTCTGTCTTTGCCTTTCCAAGGGGAAATGCCTCCGCTCCTAGTAGCTGTGTGCAGCCATGGGGCAGATAAATGCTCTTAACTTCCCCCCTCAAGTAGTGCAGAGAATTTCCAAGAGACCTGCACGTTTTCTGGGCATAGCATCTGACTCTTAATACAGAAATGCTCAGAATCTCAGTGGTGCCAGGGTGGTGGTGGTGATCCTCCTCCCCTCCTGCAGGCGTTTTTGCAATCCCGCAGGACACACTGACCCTGACCCTCGTGACCACTCTGCCTTCTGCAAGGACTTGACTGTTCCTGTTGCAGAGTTACAGCACATGTGGATGCCTTCCAAAAGTGAAGCAGTTCCATCTTGTTGAGTACAAATGCATATGCTTGGTTTGATTCTTTCAGTATAATAATAATTTGTTTAAGTCTTTCTGGATTAACTTTGAAGTAAGAATAGGCCTTTTATGGGCTAAGGACTGTTGTAGTACTGAGTACTGGCAATTTTTTTTATTGCTGTTTTATTCTGTTTACAGTTGAACTTGCTGGTATTCTGCCAATTCTTATATTCTCTGCATTAAATTATTATCATCTTCATTCAAGAAAATAAAATTAATTTCTTATATTTGCTCTCTGGCTATCTGACAATTTCTGCATGAAAGGTTAGCACCAATGGGGATGCAGGAAATAGCTCATCTGGTGCAGCTTGTCACCACCATAATTTCACACACCCTGAACCAGGCTCTTGATGCAAAGCTGTTAAGTCAGCATGCCTCTCTGTCATGGTGTACACAAAACCATGGACTTTTATTAATCAGTATCCTTGAAATTCTCAGAGATGAAGTTTTCTTTGGTACTAAGGAGAGGATGGATCAGGATTGACACACTAAAATAAGTATTTTCTATGTCTCAAAATGAGGGTTCCAGAGGGAAAATAATTTCACAGTAGCACACAGCTGACAGAAAAGTTTTTATATGTGTAGTCATTTAATGGTTTTTAGGTATGGAGGAGAGGTCAGGGTTGCCATTTCTAACCACAAGCTACCCCATAACTTAGTAAACCCTTCAGCCCTGAGTTAGGCCCAGAGACCGACTGCTGCAGGTCAGCTGAAACCTCACAAAGGAGTGGCTTCCTGCCTTCTTTAGGAATGACTAAAGATGGAAATCAAGGGGCCTGGCACCTCTCTACAGCTGAGGAGTAATTCTCCCATCCACTATTCAGCTTCCACACTGAATATGCTAGGAGGTAATGTGCACTTTTGCCATCCTAAGGTGGCAATGCAAAATAGACCAGTGAATGGAGATACTTTCCTCAGAATTATAAAGGCCTGTGACTTTCCTGTTGTTAGGCCAGAGAACTAAAAACAGTTCAGTGTTTTTAAAAAGTAGAGACGCACAGCTCTTCTGTAGAGCTGAGCTGTGCAAACACTGTGCATTGTCTGGAATATTGCTTTTGTACCTCCAGTCTGCTGCCCCTCCTTGGAGGTTTGTTCCTCAGTGTAGTCGCACTCCTCCTGGGCTGCAGGCTGGCTGCTTCTTTATTTTCGTCTTTGCAAGACTTGGCCATTGTCTCAGCTTCCTGAAACAAAGAATACTGCAGCCATTAAACAGGAACCACTGGAAGGATGTGAAAATCCACATCTGGGAGTAACCACAGAATACTGTGTTCAGATTGAAGCTGAGGGCAGAGCACAGTCCTGGGGCGTGGGATGGCAGCACAGCAGTGTGAGACTTGAGGTCCCTTGGCTGTAGCAGTCACTCAGAAAGGCTGCTTGGTTAGAAGGGGAAAATTACCAAAACCAAAAACTGCCTAATGAAAAATATTGACAGAGAAATGTTTGCCTGGCATGGCAATCACAAGGCTGAGAAGCAGAAACATCCTTGAAAAAGTGCAGCTGGCCTCTCAGAAATACAACTGTGGCACCTAGCATTCAGAGCCTGAGATTCCACCAGAAGCACAAAAACCAAGGACTGCAGAGGCAATTGGCTGAAAAGGTGGAAAATAGTCTGGGAAATAAAAAATGCTCTGAAAGAATAGAAGCACCATCATCTATTGCCATCTGTTGTACAGGTGAAAAGTAAAAAAATTTCAATCATCATCACCTACTGGCTGCTTGCAGTGTTGGTGTCCTCTTTCCTCTTATGTCTCTATCTTATAAAAAGAGCTTAATTTTTAATTCAAAACAGAACCTCTGTCTGAGAACTCCTAGTGCTGCACGTAATGTTCCTTTCCCAAACAGACTGAATTCTCTCCATTAATTTTCTATGAGATCTTGGGCTCTCATTCAGTATGCCTGACTGACTCCAGACACTGTGACATGGATCAAGTCCCTGTTATTGAATTTGTCCTCCTCTGGGGGCCCATGGCAGCAATCTCTACAGCCGTGCAGGCTGGGCAGCCCTTCAGGTGGTGACACCACCTCTCCTGAAGCACCATTCGAGTCCCAGACACCAGGTCTGAGCCAAGGGCAGCTGCCAGTCACTGGATATGCAGTAGGGAAGCCCCACTCCTTAGGTGAACATTAAGATGAAGAACAGCAGTGCTTCTCTGCCAGGGTACAGAAACTGAGACCCTTTCACAGCACAGACACTGCCAAGGCCAGACAAGGGTCACCCTGCTCACTTCAGCGTCCCGAGGTGAAAGCTGTAGCACATTTTCTCTAGACTATGCCCTCTAACAGAGGGAACAAACACACAGAAGCAGCAGGCAGGGGCCTCTGCGCCCCGCCCGGGGAGCTGGTGTGGCACTCACCACGGAGGCGGTGCGGGTTTTGCCCCGGGCCTCTCGGAGCTGGTTTATCTCAGCACGGTAATCATCCAGCTGGCTCTCCAGCTTCTCCCGCCTGACTCGCTCATACTCCAGCTGCGCCTCCAGCTCCCTCACAGCCCTGCCAAAAGCAAGGGAGACAAGCAGAGCATGAAGTACGTCCAGCCCTGTCCCGGCTGCTCCACGTGGCGCAATGCCTTTGCCAGGGACCGGGTCAGTCACGCCGAAAGCAGCGCGGCGCGCCTCACGGCGGCTGCGCTCAGGCTCCGGAGCCCTGGGGACAGCGCCGAGCAGCAGCTGTCCCTCCTCGGCTGCCAGCCGTGCTCAGCGCCATGGCACCACGAGATGGAGCCGTCCGCCCGCACACCGAGCCCGGGCCGCGCTGCCTGTCACCCGGCCCGGCTCCAGCTGCGGGGGAGGGAGAAGCGCCCGAGCAGCCACGAAGTTATTATGAAACAGAGAAAAAGCACAAAGCCGGCTGCGTTCTGAAAAGGTCAGGGGCAGCCTTCTCAATCACATCTGGTGCTTCTACACCCTTCCTATTGATTGGCTTAGGCACGGATGAGAAATACTCAGATGACAGCTTGCATGACTGGCTTATACACAGTTGCACAAGATCTCTCTGGTCACACCCTCAAGGGCTCCTAAATTATTTGAGATTCCTGGAACTGTTTAGCTGACACATAATTCACACATAAACTGAGTCTCTGGAGTTGAGCTGGCTCTCTCATGTATCAGGATGAATTATCCCAGCTATAAGGATGGAAGATCAGTAAAAGGAAAGGAGACATATCTGCCCTATGCATTCAAACAGCACAGGAGGAAAGCTCTCAGCAAGACCTACCATGTTTCCATGTTTCCCTGTTTCCCAGAGTGAGGAATTCCTGACTCAGGCCCTTTTGAGCTACCAATCAGCCTTGCTGCCACTGCAAGAATGGCCTGTGCTCAGGGGACAGCTGACTTCTTCCATGCTTCCAATTAAAGAGACCCAGCTCCCAAACTGTGTGGCACACCCATGGTGACACTTTACTGCAACCAGCCCTGGTTAAAGCACTGTGAAGTGATTCACACCAGGCCTCTTACAGCCAAAAAACCTGGACTAAAGCAGAAATCTTCAAAATCTGCTACAGTAGCCTTCCCAAGTGGCAACTCCTGCTTTTCATCTCGCAAAATGGTGTTCTCATTAAGTGTTTTATCAATAATGAGGTTTTCTGGCCTATGATACAAGCACCTTGGGGTTTATCTACAGATAGGTACCCTGAGAAGGGTAGGCAGGTATTCTGACAAGCCCTATTTCTTTTCAAAAGAATAGTTTGAGTCTAGGGATGCTTTCTAGCCTTCACAGGTGGGAGAAACCCTTCAGAGAACCTCACAATTTTTCTGGTTTAGCCACACATGCCACAGAAAGCAACACCCCTGAAAGAGCCCCACAGAGCCTTCTAATAGACATTGTTAGTTTTTGAGCAGCTGCTCTATCCCACCATGAACTTTCCTGTCTGTTAGTAGCCAAGAGAGACTTTTCCATCATTAAAACCAGATTGCTCTGACCTTTCAACATGGGCATCAACACCTAAGCTGGTCACCCTCCTCTAAAACGAGGAGAGACACTTCTAGAAGTGATCAATCTCATCCTGAAGTACATGTCTAATTATGCCCTGGAAGTGCCTACACCTCTCCAAGAAGTTGACAAAGGAGCTCATAATAACTAACTTGGCCAGAGGTGTCTGTTACCAATTTTATACATATCAAGTTAAGCAAGATGGACTTTCAGCATAAGCTGAGTCAAAGAGTGACCTGGAACAAGAAGAAATCCTGACCTCAGTTTCCTGGCTCAGATATGGCTGTAAAACAAAGTACTTAATTGCAATCTGTGACACCTATTATCTGCTCCAGATCAACTGCTAAGTCTGCTGTCTTCTTGCTGGCATATAAGCCCCCCAGACAGTGACCAAATAAAGACAGTGGTTTGGGTTGGCCCGAACACATGATGGAGGTGGTTATCTACAGAGACTGAGAACAAAGGTAGCCAAATCGTTGACAGGCAGAGGTGGAGACAGGCCTGTCTTTGGAGGCTGCAGTATTGTTAAGTCTTTTCTTTGAAAGAAAGTCTTTCTTCAAAGACTTTTCTTTGAAATGTAGACAGTCTGTCCATCAAATCACCTGACCAACCTAACAGAACCATTTGATTTAATGGAGACATTGAGAATTATATCTTATGAACAATGCTTGGGCAAGTTTGCTGATAGTTTTTTTCCTGTGATCTGGATACAAGCTAATCCTTTCTTGAGCACAGAAACATATTGCCAATGAACAGAAAGGTTAGCAGGTCACATACTCTGCTGTATGTGCTCTTCCATCCAACCCATGCTAAGACTTTTGCCTATTTTCAGATTTCCTGAAGAGCATACATGTCTTTGGCATCCTCAGAGGAAACAAAACAGCGAGAAACTATCATACCTACTCCACACATCTGCAGAAAAACCTGAAGACTGAACAGATGATCTCACACAAGAATCATAGACCTATCAAGCACTTGTGTTGTGGGGCTGATCCTGGTGGTAGAAGTTTAGAAATGCCCAGACAAATTGCTGCAGTTCATTATTTTGGCCTGGTTGAAGTTGGTAAGTGGAGAAAACAGAATGGCCAAATGCAAATTTGCATGTAAATCAGCTTTAAAAAAGGATTTAAAATGGGCCCCACAGAGTTAAACATTAGCAAGGCAGAATGACCTTACTTCTCAACTTTCCTTTCTTCTTTTCTCATCTTCTTCTCCTCTTCAGTTACTCCCCCCAGCTGTCTGTAGTTGCTGTAGGCAATTTCTAGAAGTCTCTGAAGTTCTTTAATCTTGTGATAGGCCCTTACTGTAAGACAGTTCTCCAGGTAGGTTAAATGCAAGAAGACAGTCATGCTGAAATCCAATAGTCTGGAAAACAGTCTCACAAACATAAGAGCAGAAGTCACACTGCTCAGCAAACACTGAGCTACACCTGACACCCACACAGCAAGCAGATGTCAAAAACAAATAGCAATCCAACACTGTTGCACCAACATGGATTAAAATGGTGTGACAATTATGATCTGATTGCCTTCTATTTGCTTTCTAATATTCCACAATTTGTTTCAATGCTCAGTATTACAGATATCCTGTCAACCATCTCGTAACAAAAAGAGCAGTTGGCTGTGACTGTCCTAGTTAGGACTATTATGTCTTGATAACAAATTTTGCAAACAAGGAATGTTGGAAATAGAGTGCTTACCACGTGCATTCCTTTTCTCTGCTTTATCCAGGGTTAAATCTTCTTTGCTGTCTGTACTCCCTTCCACACCATGTGTTTCAAAAAACTTGATGTTGTTTGCATCTAGTTCTTCATCACTAGAGTTACTGTTTCCAGTTCTTGGTGTCAACAGTTCCACAGCTGCCAGATGGCCAAATCTGCACAGAGAACAGTTACAATCTGGAAAAACACATGTGGTAGAAACTCTCAAGCTTCCCATGTACCCATTTATCAGAGGGGTTTCAGAACTAAAGGAAGACTGGACACACACTACAATTACCTATCTACTTTTTTTAGTATTCTTATGGCACGAGCTCTGCCTCATGGAATCTTATGGCAATGGCTCCTACATCAGAGGCATCTCTTTCCTTTGCAGGGTTTCTTAACTGAATTTCATCAGAATCTGCATTATTTTTATTAATGCAAAAAAGCAGCTGGCCTCTGCTACTTCTCAGTTACTTTGTATAGCAAACTGTGAGCATAAGGGCACAAAACTGTCCTCTGGCAAATGAGCTAGTATTGGAAACAGGCAACTCCCAACGAAGGGAGAGGAATGACAAATTTTCTACAATGCATTCTACTTGTTCTAAAACACAGGAGCAGTAAATGAGATAAGAATTGGTTTTCCTTTCTCTGAGGTTCAGAGAATGTGAATCCCAGAAAATCCTTGGGAAGCTGTGCCTTGCTTTACTCTGTGAAATGTGACCACAAGCCAGTTTTCCTCTTTTGTGTCTGACCTCACTAAAAAGAAAATTAAATTAGGTGAAAATTAAAACCTTTTATGGTTACAATATTATAGCTACAATACAGCCTTGCTTATCACTCAGAGCTGGAATTCATGGGCTTGATCTGTTCTTTCTCCATCACTGAAAATCAGGATTAATTCCAACAAAGCTGATATGATATTGATACACAAATAGTAAGTAAATAAGTGTCAGAGCTACAGGATATGTACTGCTACCTCTTGGCTACATCCTTTGGAGTCTCTCCAGCGTCATTTGTAATGTCACAGTCAGCTCCCATTTCAACCAACCACTGTAAGCAATGGATATGCCCCTGTTCAGCAGCTAAGGGAAGGAAGACACAAGTCAATGATATACAACTGGAGTGTTTCAAACCTAAAATGTCCTCCTCTTGCCATTATTTGGCAAGTCAGAGATTGGGTTCACTAAGACACCACAAGGGAGATACTATTTCAAGAGGAGCCTCTGTGTCAAGATGCTGACAATCACTTGGGTACACAGAGTTTTGGGGCAGAGCATTGCACTGCAGTGTGGTTGGTGACTCTCTCTAGGTCTAGAAATGTATTGGCAGCTCTTGCTGATCACAAGCTAAACTAAACTTGCCCAGTCTCACGTACAGAGCACAAGACACACAAATAACTGCTGCCCTAGCTGAAAGGCCTGCGTGCCACAGTTTGGCAGCTAGGTGCTGTCACCTCTCCCTGGCTTTGGGCTCCCAGGGCTCAGACACAGCTGGTGCCCCAGCCTGGGGTGTGCGCTGCTGCCTCAGGAGAGACAAGCAGGGCTTTGTGCTGGAGCTAAAGGTACAGCATTTCTTGGGGCAGACACTCAAGGCAGCACCTCTCAGCAGCATCCTAATACAGCCCTACTCATATGATGTGCCATGGCCACTGCTCCCACCACGTGGTGCCAGGAACAATGTCTCACTTATGGAAGATGGCATTTGGCAGGACTAGATTAAACTGTACACTGATTTTCTCAAGGAAGAAAAAAATCCATTTCTTGACAGCACTCCCCAATGGATATTTTCTATATTTGTTTTCTTACTGAGATAAGGAAATGAAGTTACAACATCAGCATGGAAACACTGGGGGTGAAACAACTGTAGGTTAGCATAATTCCAAGAAAAGAAAGTGGGATTTTAAAATAGCTACGTATCAGTTATTTTAATAAGAACCTCAATTATGTTTTTAAACATTCTACTATATATCTAGTCAAAAAGAAATGTAGGAAATGTGTTAAAAGAATATTACAAAAATGCTTCCCTCTTTCTTTCATCTTTTGTTTCGTCTTTCAGATAATACTGTGAAACCCCAAACACAAAAGAACCATTTCTTCTGTAATGCCAGTAGTCCACTACATGCCAAAGTGTCAACCAGAAGTTTACCTTTCTTCACAGCATCCTACCAAATGACTTTGTTGTAGTTTTTACAACATATCCCCACCGTACTGATGTGTTCAGTAAATAAAGGCCAGGCCACAGTACAGATCATTCTTTTACTTAGCTAGCCACATGTTTCTAAAAGCCACATCTTGCCTGATTAAAAAAAAATCAAAACTATTTAGTTACATTAAATTAAGTGAAAATTAAAAACTTTTATAGCTAGAATACAGCCTTGCTTATCACTCAAAGCTGGAATTCATGTGCTTGTGCTTTTCCTGCTGAAAATCAGGATTAATTCCAACCTGACATGATATCGATATACGAGTAGTAAATAAATGTCAGAGCTACTTAGTTTTCAGTTTAGATGCTGATTTCTCTTCATTGTAAGCTCTTTTTCCTTGACTTGAGCTTGGTTATATTGTTTTTAAAATTACCCACACACACATACATTACAAAATACGGGGTTTGGGGTTGCCTTTCCAAGCCCTCAAGAAATGAGATGCTGGTTTTCATTGAGTTTTTCCGATAAGCAGCCACTTGAAAAACAAAGTATAAGAATCAGCAACAAAGAGTAACAAGCTGAAGCATAGATCATATTTACTGACCTTTGTGCAGGAGAGTGGATCCCTTATCGTCCTGCTCATTAATGTTGATTACTCCACTTCTCACTAGGCTTCTAACCACTAACAAGTCCCCACTGAACGCAGCATCATGAGCTGGGAAAGCTAAAACTGAAAATGAAAGGCACATGTTTCCAAGCAGATGCCAGCAGTTCTACTGAACATGCTGGTATTTGTCTCACAGCAAATTATGTATGAACACTTCAGAGGTAGCAAGGATAATGCTCCTCAGTCAGCTGAAATGCAGCTGTGTAACCAGCAGTGCTCACCAGACACTTGACTAAACATGTCTTAGTTATGGCTACAGGCACCTCCTACAGTTAAGAGATTAATTTCACAGACCTGAAATAACAAGTAGACCTTTGTGTACTTCTGCAGAATTACACATAATGCTTTTTTTAAGTGTATCTTGACCATACTCACCTTCCTGTGTCTCTGGACGTTCCTCCTCTTTTTCCACATCATCGATATATTGCAGAATATTGTCTTTGTAGAACCGTTCAGCCAAGTCCCTTGGAGTCTCTCCATGATCATTCCTGGCTTTCAGAGTCTGTGTAACACTGGCCATTTTCCTGAGCAAGAACTTAAAGCAATGCAAGTGTCCTTCCACTGCTGCCAGGTGTGCTACAGCACAAATGAAACAAAGGGTGCTAGAGCTGAGCCCTGCTGCCCACTGAGGAAGCAATGCTCCCACCACTGCTCAGGGCTGGCTCATCTAGCAGCACTGAGCCATCCAACACTGCACAGGGGGAAGAAAAGCCTCAGCTCAACTGCAGATGTTCAGCTCCCACCCAGGACAGAGTTCAGCTCTAGGCAAAGGAGGTAAAGCTGCCAAGGATGGGATCTGCAGAGATGATTCCCTGGTGGAGCTGACTGCAGGAGACAGAACAGACTCCCAGCAGAGCACCAAATCCTAGCTCAGAGAGTGCACTGCTGGGCCTCACCTCCCCAGGAACACAGATCCCACTGACCCTGCTGTCCCAGGGATACTCCTCACAGGGGACAGCAAGCAGTGTCCTTGATTAGGAGCTGAGGCCATTTCTGCTTTAGCCTCTACTGTGCCACCACAAAAAAGTTCAACACACCCTCGGTTACCTTACACATGAAATGAGGACAGTGATAGGGGCTTCACTGGACAAAATATTGGAAGGTACATTCCTCACCTGACCTTTAGGCTATGCAGAAGTTTACTTACTTAATATTACTACAGTGCTGGGCCTACAACAAAGTAAGAGGTACCAAACACATGCTGACTCATTTGACATAAGTAATATCCTCTAATCCCATTAAAGAGAAGAACTTGCCAAATAAATGCTTATTATGATCTCTCACTCCATGAAAATGCTCTGAAACAGCTGGCTGATGTTCTAAAGGCAAAAGTATTAGTTTGTCTCCAGATAAGAATCTCACCATCTTCATAATCAACAAACAATGGGCCCAGGATCCAAAAAACCCATGTCAATTCATTTTTGGCACATACAAGTTCTCTATAGCAAACCAAACCATCCACAGCTTTCCAGACCATAATTGCTCTAAAAGGCTATGGACAATGGTTTTACAGCAAGATGACAATACCTCTGTACAGATGATAGTTTAAAATCTGAGCTTCACTGAAATAAGGGCAGTTTTTGCCATTGTCTGAATTTTAGTCAGTGAGTTAGGTTCTCAGGGAGAAGGAAAAAGAAGGGTACCATGCTTAAGGTAAGTCAGCTAGTGAAAAACTGACTCAACCTTTACAAATCCGTTTTCAGATACCTGAAACCTGTTGGTATCCCAATTTCTCTGTGTTTCATCTTGTCTTTTTATAAAATCAGACTAAAAATATTCACTCTTCTCAAAGCCACCAGTCAAAAAATTGTGTCTGTGAAAAATATTTAGAATAGGTTTGACTAGTGAGCAATAAAAGAAGCATGGAAGTGGCCCAAAAATGAATAGAGAGAAAGCAAATTGAAATGTTCAGTTAATAAGCACAGCCCATTCTGTACATTGAATGAGCCACAGAATTTTTTTTTTCTTCCAAAATATTGGCAAGGAAATATAGTTAGACCCCTTGCTGTAACATACATATATAAAAGATGCAGCCAGGTTCTAAGTTTCAGGTGCCTGGCACTGCAACCTCAAAAAATTTCTTCCAGTATTCTCTTAGGAAAAATTATTGCAGAGTTCAGCTAATCTTGAAGCTGAAGCATGTAAAGATAATTTAAGTTCACTTCTGTTACACAAGCAGACAACAAGTTGGTTTGCACAGTACTTCTACGAATCTGTTACTAGCCTTGTTCCAAAATATCCTCTTTCCTTTGGAAGATAATATGATCAAATGAAACACATCAAAGGTAGGAAGATCAAGCTTCTGTAGATGCCAAAACACAACAAAAGTAGTTTTCTACTAACCATTTTATATAGAGCATTTAAGTAGAACTGTGCTGACATCTGCTTTCTCTCCACAGAAGTCTGTTATCAGGGAAGTGTTCCCAAATGCAAATAAAGCTGCCTTCCATGCTGCCCCCAGGGTGCCGCACATCATGACCCCTTATTGCTAATGCACCAGATGTCCTGCTGGGATGCAGCAGCCTCACATCCTTTAACAAGCCCCAGGTTTGTAAAACACACCATGGCTATGTTTCCTAGGTTAGTAGTCCTTACTAGAAGGTAAAAGATTTTAAGAGGGGATTTATAAAGATAACTCTGTACAAGTTATAGAGAAAAACATATGCTCTTTGGAACAAATAATGTGTCAAACCATAAGAAGGAAAATGCTAAAATGAAAAGGATGCAAGGGGAATTCAAGACAGGAACAATACCATTGAGCTTACAAAGGATATTCAGGCAGTGGTATGTTAGGGAGAGGGATACTGCATAAAATACAAAAAGCAAGGAACAATCACTGGCAAATTTTTGTGTTGAAGTGAATGCACTGATAATTATGAAAATAAATTACAGATAATCCAGAAAAAGCAGTATTCCAGAAATCAAGATGAAGAAATCACAGGAAAATGAAAACAACTGTTTCACAAAATCAGTTAAGAAACAGTGGGATACAAAAACTTGCATGCCAACACACCAGAACCTCATCACACTGGCACCAAGTCAAAAGTAGCACATAGCAGCTGAAACTGCCTCCCCCTCCACCTATCCTTCTCCTGCGACCTCCACTGGCACACAAGCTCCATCACACACACAGGAGATGCTGCTCACCTGCTCCCAATCAGGCTCAGCCTGCTCCACATCCCAGCATTTGTGAGCTCTCATCCTTGCTAGCAGCAGCAGGAAGTGAATGGGATACTGTCACCAACAGTAACACTTTGGAAAAAATGGGCTATCTATGTGGATTGCATGGAATCAAATAGCAAATGCTGCTGCTGTGCATTAGTTATAATTTGCTCAACCATCACATTTCACAACAACTGTAAACCAAAGGTTTAAAACCATATGATTTATCCTGATATACCTGGAAGGTTTCCATTGTTATCCACATCATCTACACACGCTCCCCATCGAACAAGAAGCTGCAAACACCCCAAGCGACCGTGAAAAGCAGCATAATGAACAGGTTTCCAGTCATTCCTGTCTGAAACATTTACATCCTAAAATGAAAGTAGCAGGTTAATTCATTCACTTCTGAGTCCTAGGACACAAGACAAATTTTATATATGGAAATCCGCTGTTCACTGTGTTAAATTATTTAAATCAAACCAAATAACGTTTTTCAAAGTTCATGCATTATACGCAGTTCCAGTTTCACAGGTACTGTTCACAGGTTCTTGCTTTTACTTAATACACTTAGAAAAGGTGCATTTTTAGACATGTTTTTATCATCATAGTGATCTGCATTGGTCATTATTCCTTAAATATGCATCTGGACTAATTTTTCCTTTTTTTATGCCTCCTTTACTATAGAAGATTTTTAGAACTGGGAAAAATTACCATCACCCCAGTACCTGATGTTCATTTAATGACATCCTCAGCAGAAGGTGATTTACTCACATTATTGATTCTCGCTGCATTTTTAGAGCATGTCCCTAAATGTATATCACAATCTAAAAAACCGGAAATTCACGCACGGGATAAATTCCCCCCCAGTAATTAATCTCCAGCCCTAAGTCTCGGCTCGAGCTCGGGAGAGTTGAGCCTGGGAGAGCTGCCGGGCTGAGGCAGGGCAGCAGCCTGCCGGCAGCAGTCTCACCGCCCCGGTGCGCAGCAGGCTCTGCAGCGTGTACGAGTGCCCGTGGGCCGCAGCCAGGTGCGAGGCCGTGCAGCCGCGCTCGTCCCGAGCTGCCGCGTCCGCTCCGCTCACTAACAGCGCCTGAAAGAAACGCAAGGCACACGTGCATTTCACAAGCTGAAAAAGCAAACATTTCCTGGAAGGATAGTGCATGATGACCAGCAGGATAACTCCCGGCTGACCTCAGGGGTCTGGTATTGCACAAAACAGATCTGTTTGCGCAGACAGCGCAAATGAGTGCTCTGCTCTGAAAATGGCTAACTTAATTTGACATGTCAAGACATCAAATGAGCTACTCATAGCTCCCTGAGGGGCTCCCTCAGGGATCTTCATAATGAATTTGTCCAGTGCTGTTATGTTTGCCCAATTATCCCCTCATTAAAAAAACCCCCAAACAATATTTAAGGCAGCAACAATTTTAATTGAATAGTTTAGAAAATATATAAATAAGGGATAATTTGGTTCCAATAATAGCACATAAGCAAAAACAACCGCGGGGTACAGAGGGCAGGGTTCAATGACCCGTGCCACCTCACGTACAAGCTTGCCAGGTGAAAGTCACCCCTTATATGCCATGTATCAATACCATCTCCTCCCATTTTTGGTTCGTCACTTTTCTGTCTCCGCCCTCATTACCACCCTTATCACGCATGCGCCACCACTCGGTTTGGTGGTTGTACAAGTCTTTGGGGGTCGTCACTGATGAAGGCCCTGTAGTCTTCTTCGTTGTCCTTTAATTCACCTCTGGGTTACACATGCGCACCAAGCCAGTACAATGTAAGCCACGACTAACGTATCACTGCATCTACATATCAAGGCAATAAATCCCTTATAATTAGCATTTTCTGGGACCGAACCAGGTTCTTGGTCATTTTTAGCAATTATATCTTCAGCTTCTTTCCTGTGGTCCTTGAAAACATCTGGGAAGGGGGGGGTGGAGCCCCTCCTCTCCCTCTCTTCTTTGGCATGACAACTTTTTAACTATTTATTATTCTTAAATATTAATTACTGTATCAATACCAATTACTGTTTCAATTTTTATCAGCGCGAATCGCACCTATTTATCACAGTGCTAAGGCCTGCCCTAGTAACCTTTGCCTGAGAGGGAGTGTTGGCAGTACCTGCATGCAGGCGTCCTGCCCGCGGATGGCCGCCAGGTGAGCCGCAGTCCAGCCTCTCGCCGTCACACGTGCGGGGTCAGCGCCGTGCCAGAGCAGCCACTGCAGGCACTGCTCAACAAACCAAAGGCTTCTCTTAACTGCTCCCATCGAGACTCTGAGGCACGTTTCGATAGAACCCATCCATCACAGCTACCTTTCAAAACAGTGCTGGAATACTTCCTTATGGAAATAGGAGATCCCAGAGCATGCCTTAAACAGGTATTTGTGCTTTAGGAAGTTATGGGCAAGTTATACTCTCCAGGTTCCACCCAAGGGTACAAAATGTGCAAATAACCCACTAAATCAGATCCTAGCATTAATGTTGCAGTTTGACTTTATCATTTTACTCTTCCAGTTTTAAAATGTAATCTGTGAGAGTATTCTTATGGCATGAAGGAAAAGCATTGGAAAAAACAATGCAAACATGCTCACATGAATTCCAGCTAAAATTACTGGCAGGAAAAAGATCACATACTAAATTTAAAGCCTCATTTAATTTATTAGGCTTCTTAGGCATATGTAATCCCATATCTCTTCTCATCCTTCCATAGCCTAGTTTTATTTTATTCATCTTTTTCCAGCAGATATCACTGCTTGCAATGGAAAGCTTTATGAACTATTCAAAGACAGCTAGAGGAACAGTTAGAACTTTTTATTATATATTATTATGATTTATTATCTTCTTTCAGGCCATCTTACAGCTTCCTCCACTATTTCTGCCAAGGAGCTCAGTGACAAACAGATGACAGATAATTCAATAAAGTTTAACAGACTGATTGCAAAGTAGGAGAGTCCAATGAAAAATGGCAGAACTTAGAGAGGCAGAAAGGGAAGGTAAGCAATCTGGCTTTGGGGCTGACATTAGCATTTTCTTGACAGTGTCTCTACATTCCAGAAGCAGCTCTGCACTTAGCAATTCTTGAGTCTAGCAAAAACTTCATGCTTTTTCTTTTGGGACATGAATGGCCTTGCTGCTTCAAGTTTAGACTGCCATGGACAATGAACAAGGAGGCTGCAAGAAGAAGGAGAATGTTGTGCTGAACACAGCAGTTCAGTCCTTCTGGAAGTTTAAAATATTGATGCAATCACTTGCTGATTTCTCTACCATTATTCAACATTTTCATTTATTAAAATAAAGTGTATTAGGACTGCTTCTATGGAGAATGATGGATGGGGCACTGGTAAGCACAATGAGTATATTTTTTCATGTCACTTCTCACCTGTTTCAGTTAGCTTTAGAACATTTTACACATCCTACAGGGTTTTCCAGGTGTCTCAAGAGAAGGAGAAAATGCAATAAAGACAAAAGAAGGTCATGAGTCTGAAAGGGAGGCTATAAGGCAGATTTTACTCAAAATAAGAAACACAACAATTTTGTAAAATACGGCAAAGTTGATTAAGTAAATTGGCTGGGTCTTCAGAAAGAAAAAAATAAAATCCAAAATCCTGTACTCCTGCCTTTCGTGATTATATTTAATAAGAAAAACAGGCAGAGATTATTGATTCAGTCTGATCAAAGCAATGTTGTGTTCAGCCTCTCCCAAAGAAGGAAATAGGGACTATAGCTATGCCTGTACACTAAGGTAATGCTTTACCTCCAGACTTCCCGAGTGGGCAGCACACTGCAAGGGTGTGAATTTGTGAACCACATCCACCTCATTAATGCTGGCTCCACTTTTTATCATCGATGCAAGCTGTTCTACATCCCCAGCTTTCACTGCTTCATGCACACTAGTGTAATTTTCCTTCTTCTTGACAACTAGTGAGGAGAAATGAAAGGGCATTAGTCCACTGCTTAAATCAGCAACATTTAAGAGGTAGAGAATGTGTGATGAATCAAAAAAAATACCAGATTTGACATTCATGGCACAGAATCAAACTCTAAATGTAGAGGCAGTAGTATAAAAGAAAAAAAATCTTCTGTCACCAGGCCATGGTGTCAAATGACCTGTGTTCTCCCTTTAGGCCTTTCCACTGATTAACTACAAGACTGGAAACAATGAGAATTACATATCCAAACCCCTTGCAACATCTTGGTACCTTGACAAAACTTGTAAACAGAAATATGAGATGTAAGTAGATCTAATGGCCAAGGGGGCTAACTTCAGATAGCCAAACATGAAAGGAACCTAAACCAATTAGTATTCACCTTCTGCAGTAGTCATCATTCCAGTACCAAAATGCACCAACACACTGATTACATTTCACACTTCTGGAAGTCCTGAAGAATTGGGCTACTGTTTAGCAAGGCAAGAAAACATAAAACTGAAGGTCTCAAGGTATTAGTGACTCAGTTTCTGTGCCTGTGGAGAAGAAATGGTAGTGGCAGTTAACACTGTTACACAATTCAAGGTAAAAAAATAATAAAAACTATAAAAGAGATATTGTATGTGTTTGTCATATTTGAAAAAAAGCACTAGATATAATTAAAAACATCCTCTGCAGTTTACTAATGCCTATTTTCATGTAATCTGTAGTGTGATAGTAGAGCTTGGGCAGATTTGGGGTTGCCACAGAGAGGAGGGGGGGAGTGAAGCTCCAGCACTCCAGCCTGACAGTAACACACGCTGTGTGTGCTGTGACACACCGCTGGATCCTGTGTCTCAGCCCACCTCCACCTCCCCAGCGTGGCAGGCTGCATCACTGCCCTGCACAAAGCCCAGAAAACTTCAGAACCAGGACTCCATCCTGCAAAACACTGTACAAACAAACAGCAGCAGCACAGAAATACAGAATAATTCCAGCGGGAAGGGGCCTCAAGAGGACATCTAGTTCATGTTTTGAGGTTTGAATTGTTTGGGTTATTCTGAAGAACAGTTTCACCAGACATAATTTTCCCCCAAGGAAGAAATTGCTCATTATACCAAGCGAGGGTTACAGACTTCAGCCGAATTACACAACTGGCTGATTACACTGCTCGGCAAAGTTCTAATGTGTTTACCGTACAGCAAGTTCAAGGCAACTTTTATTTTTTTTCCCGTTAACCCAGAGGAAAAGCAAACAACAAGGCCCACCAGCAGAAAGAATTTTGTCTCCCCTCTCCCTCGGGATACCTCCTACTGCAAGGAGACCAATGCCAAGGGTGGGTGGCTGCCCTGGCTTCTGGGCACAGGACAAGGGCCGCAGCCTGGCACTGAAGCTCAGAATAAAGCTGTTAACATCAATTCTGTAAGAAGACACACTGATGTTCAAAGCGAAGGGCAGGCTCCATAATTCTAGGGCAACTTTTTTTTACCAAAAATTGTTATAAAACGCTCGTTCAATGTTCTGGGAGAAAACTTTGCAGAAAGAATTCAGTAAGCACTTTGAGATCGGTACCGGCCCAAAATCCAGTGAATGAGATTAAGTGAAGAAGGATATGGCTCGGAATAGGGAAAGGCACAGTTTAGGTGTTGCGATGTTTCCGTAACACACAAACCCAATCCTCGGAGCTCGGCTTTGGCAGCAGACCCAGGGCCGCGGGAGCCGCCGGCCCGGCCCGGCCCGGCCCAGCGCGTCCCGCCGGGCGGAGGCGGAGCTGCCAGGCCCGGGGCAGGGGCAGGGCGCGGCCGGCCGGTACCAAACACCGCCCTTCCCCGCGCTTTTGGTGGGTATGGAGCGTCCTCAGTGCTGCGTGTGCATCCCGGCGGAGCCCCGTGCCACAGCCCCGGGGTTCGGGAGAGCCCGTCCCGCCCCGTGCCACACGGCCGCCCCCGGCGAGGGGACGGGGGAAGGAGCGGGCGGAGGAGGAGCGGGCGGAGGAGGGGCGGGCGGGGCGGTCTCACCGGCCGGAGCGGGGCACGGCCGCCCCTCGCAGCTCAGGGGCAGGCAGCTCGCCGCTGCCGCCTGGAGCGCTCCCTCCAGCTGCCGCTGCTGCTGCTGCCGCCCCGGCGTTGCCATGGGCCCCGGGCTCGCCCTCCCGCGGCGGAAAATGGCGGGCGGGGCGGGAGAGGTGCAGCCTGGCCCGGCCCTGCCGCACGGGCTGCGCTGTAGCTGCTCGGGGCGCTCTGCACCTCCCGGCGGCCCTGGGATGCGGCCGGCACGGTGAATGATCCCCACGAGAAATGTAACAAGAACCAATTCTCATCTCGGAACCCCGCCGGTGATGCTCTGAGCAAGAAGCACTGAACCAGCTTGTGCTCTAGATGATCGGACTCCGGTCACGTTGTGGGAACCTTTAACCCTCATTGCTTTTTGCAGCGACGCGATCCTGCTCCCCAATTCCCTTAGTCAAAACCAGCTGCTACCCTGGGGGTAAGCCGGGTTCCTTTGATGTGGGGAAAAAAAGGACGCTGTATTTCCAGAATCCAGCTTCCAGGCAGAATGAACCCTTCCCAGTCAGATTTACAGGTGTGCAGTGATAACTACATGGACCAAGTGAGCTTAATGAATCATTTAGGGTTTAATTATCCTTGTCAATTAAGAGCTGTCATAAAGCCCATTTCTGCGACTTATAGGTCTCATTTTTGTTCTATCTCTAGTAGACAGAGTAATTTGTTCCCTTTTCTGAACAGCCTTCTGCATATTTAAAGACACCACGTCTCTGCTCAGTCTCCTCTGAACTTCAGTTGGTGCAACTTAGAAGTTCAAGGTATTCCAGAACACAAAGCATCATATTTGAGACAGGCTACATCCCTGCTCCAGGAAGAGGTTGCAATAACACAGGAGTACCCCCTACAACACAGCCAGCAGCCACACACACCACTGCATACACTGACACCACCCTGATCAACTGTATTTTTGTGCCTCTGGACTGTCTGTAATAAAACAGCATTTTAAAGTCTCATAGCTGGAACAGGGCAAGCTCACTAGAATTACTATAGAACAACTATCTACAACTACAGCTCCAACTTTAATAGAAGAATCAAAGCATTACTCGCACCTTAAAAACTGTGTGAAGCTGGGGTGTCAACGTGGAAAGAAGTTTTTGCAGCCAACATCTCCAGCACTGCTGATTATTTCCACTTGCACACTAAGGGGGAATTCTGACTCCCAGTATAACCTGCTAGGACTGCGACATTGCTTTCTGAGTTTCAGTGCTTCTGTCTTGCTCCCAGCAAGTTAAAAAATACACACTGCAACTAGCAGAGTGAATAAAACATCAAATGCATACTGAAACACACAACTTTATTTCAATTCCCACAAACATACCAGCCACACAGACCCATCACTGAAAGGAAGAGACTCACACTCAAATATATGCTTAGTTTTATTTATAACATTTAAGAAATATTAACATCTCAGGATATCTGGTTTACCATCTAAGTCCAGTCATAAGCAACAAAAAAGAAAATGTTAACTATGTTTCAAATGAGCATTCTTACATTCATTCCCCCCTGTAACGTAAAGAAAATTCAGCTTTATTAAATTTGTGTTTGACTAATGGAAAAAAAAAATCATTAAAAACACCTTAACTACCAGGCATCCTGGTTTGTTAATTTTTTTTTGTTGGCACTTGTGTTCACCACAATCAAGCACTCCGGTTGGTTCGTTAAATTTTCCCCTTCTACCCAGAACTGTCTTTTTGTGAGTTTTTCTGTGGATTTTTTTATTGTTTTGTTGTTGTAATTGTTTTTTGAAACATCTGGATATGTAAGCTTGTTCAAATAACTTTTAAAAAGACAAGGAATCTAGGCCTGTCTGAAAAGCTCCTTCCCTTGATAACCCACCTATGGGATTACTGAAGGAAGAGTCTTGCTTTCATTTTTCTGAATCTTATTAAGCAAAAATTCATTTTAATTAATTTTAAACTGAAAAAAAGTACAGAAACACTGTATTTATTTGATGGTGTGCATAAACATTACACTCCATACATAGCAAAAATATCTTTTATTTATAATTTACATTTCAACAAGTGAAAATTTTACATTTTTACATATACCATTAAATTTTCACGCATCTACAGAACTTTCACACAATGACACCTGAAACTGTGCAGGCAATAAGAAATTTCAAATACAAAAATGTATTTATTAACCAAACAGTAGTTGAGGCCCTGCCTCAATTGGACATTTTATTCATATAAAAAGTATTCATCTTCCAGAATTAACACAGCAGCTCCTCTGTAAAAAACAAAAAAACAAAAAAAAAAAAAAAAGAAAGAAATCATACCGCGGTTTATTTAAACAGAATCCTCAGGTTCTGTTTTGATTTCTGTAGATGCAGGTGTGCTCTCTTCTGCACAGGCAGGAGGAGGGGTGTCTTCAGGTTCTTCTTTGATTTTAGGTGAGTCACAGGACTCTTCTGTTTCTTGTTTAACAATGTCCAACATTATATTTAGTGGATTTTCTGAAGGAGTCTTGCTGGGAGATGGTGTGCAATCAAATGATGATGTCTACAAAGTGAAAGTCAATGTAGCATTAGCACACTAAAATAACCATTTTCGGCCTCTCATTCTTTTTGCCTTTTTTCAAAATGCAAATATGTTGATGGTCAGGCACTCAAAATCCAAACTTCTACTTTGTCAAACTTTTAAGAAAACAAATTCATTTTTTTAATAGCATTACTTTTTTTTCCAATTCCTTTGAAAAGTATCACCAAGCAGAGATGAAATGCTGAACACATTACCATGGACTGATGTAACTTCCAAAGCATTAAAAATGTCACACCAATACCCACCTATTCCATTGTTAAAAATTCCTAAAATTACACATTACTCCACAATAAATCCATCAAAGCATAGCTTTGCTTTATGGCACACAAGCTGTCATGGTACTCACAACCAGAAACACATCTCAGTTAATTCTGTGTTATAAACTTGCTATGCCCAAGGCCTCCAAGTCTTAGGCAAGAGAAATGGGCAGCACATTCTGAACACATCTGCTCCCTGCAAAGCAAAGAGATGAAGCAAACAAACTGAAAGCAAAATGCTTCCAAAAATATGAAGGATTCACTTACATTCTGGTAATCTTCATAACAAGATGGATGGTAAATCTGAAAAAGAATTGTTATACAATTAATATGCAAAAATAAATTATAGCAGGATCACTGATCGTGAACTGAACAGTGTCTATTACACATTATCACATAATTCATCTAGAGAAACTATGGTCTGAGCAGGCTAAGTATGGCATCAGCTATACCTGAGACAGGATTTTGTGATGTTTATTTAGGAAATGTCATCATACAGAACCTGGTGAGTGCTGGGAATTATCTGTGCACAGCTGCATGCAGGAAGAACTGAGCCCAT